CCCCAAAACCCCAAAACCCCAAAACCCCTTTAATTCTTAGCTAAATTGTAATCATTAAATATATTGACAAATGGAAAATTGTGGGACTTGGAATTTCAAAAATTTCAGAGAAATCCTAGGACTAAAAGGATCTTCACAAGGAATACTCACAACTCTTTCACTTGCTTCAAAGATTCTACCTTATTATGGATACGCACATCAATGTAAGACCTTGATGACTCAACTTCGGTCTGGTTCTAGAGCAATATGGCTAAATAACCAAAACATCTTGCTCAGATCATACCCTGATAAAGATGATGGAGTTAGATACATCCTAAAAAAGAGGCCTTTGCTCATCTCTAAAGCATTTGGAAACTCTAGGCTTCTCAAAAGTAATACAACGCTGCTAAAATTTCATGAATTCATGACAAATGATGACTCAAAATTGTTCGAAATCACTATTCGACTCAAAGCTTTTGACTTAAAAAGCCTCAGAATTATCAATAAAGTATTGGATAACCTTGATTCAGAAGTATCCTCAGTCAAATTTCTCCTGATGTGAGGTTACAGATCAAATAATGTCTTCATAGATGTTCCTGAAATAGTAAAGGTATACTCAAAAATTGCTGATTTCTGCAACAAGGAAATACTAGTAGACAATAGTGGGTGCTTTCCCACATATATTTTCCCAGAATGACTCAAATTTGATATGAGAAAGGCCTCCTATATAACAGAAAAATCATGAATACTTTTTACAAATTGCCTTCCATTCCCAGAATACGAGAATATGGATCCGGGAATAGCCCAGAGCTTTATAGAGGGTCAATTTTGTTCCAGGCAATATTTTAAATTGTTCAGTCAGTATAACCCTGAAGAAATTTGGAAAATGACAAGGAAGTCTACCCTCACTTTGAAGATTTGTGCTAGTCATTCCTTAGACGATTCATCAGATTTAAAATAACATCACTGAAATTCTAATGGATTATGAGAAATGTCCCTCAGTCAAGGACTCTCAGTTCAAAGAGATAATATTGAATACAACTGGACTCATAGGGCAGTTTGAATGTAATTCTCAGAAAGTATTTCTTTGGAACCTCTATGACATGTACAATCTTTGCTACCAAAAATAAGATAGAACTATCTATCCAAAGCTGTAAATTCGCCTTCAAAGAAACTGCAATCAAAGGAGCTGTATGTTATATCTACCTGGAGGACAAGTTTCTTAAGATTACTAATTTTTGAGGAAGATTCAGCAAACTCATCTATAAATGTTCAGACTATTTCATCTGGAAACTTGATATCTCACAATTCAGTGGAAAACTTGTTGAAGGTGAAACTCCTAAGCTCACCAGAAGGGTTAAATATCTCACTAATGAATGGTGAGCTATCATCTTTATCAACCAGATCACCCATATTGAAACCTCCTTGGCTAGATTAGAGTCTTCAGTTGTTCAAAATGCTGGCAGGGGCATAATCTTCAATACTACTATTAAGTTTCTGGAGTTATTAAAAGAGAAAACTTTTGCAAAACTCGAAAAGTTAAATAATCGTGGAAAGCTTAACCTTAGGATCGAAATGACAGAAAATTGAAACTTGCTTTCCCCAAAGTCTAACATAGATCTATCAATTCTGAGATATCTTAAACTTACTGAGCTGCATATCAAAGTGTATCTGAGGACAATAAATAAGGAGTTAAATGGGCTCGCTAAAGTCCTGCAGAATCAGAAGGAATTGGAGTTCTTCAGTCTAAGCTCTATTGACTTATTCTGCAAAAATCCCTTATCAAAAGAGTTTCAGAATTTGCATCTAGTTTTAAAAAACCGTCCTTATTTGAGGAAGATTAATATAGTTTCCAGGAGTTCCTTCCCTCTGGTTACTAAAGAAGTAGCGAAAACTCTTCTTATTGATAAAATCACAGCTGAAATCACTATTAAGCATGGTTGAGAATGATATTTTGACACATATCATAAACTATGTGAAGAATTGTAAATCATAATTTTAATTTCAATGGGATCTAATCTTCACGGGGTTTTGGGGTTTTGGGGTTTTGGGGTTTTGGGG